GCTTCTAAATACATAATTCACAAATACTTGATCTATTAGTCCGAATTCAGTAAAACAACTGAGGCACACCTGCTTAGACTGTTGCAACAGAACAGTAAAGCATAAAATTAGTGTTTGGCTATGCTTTAAAAATTGTTACTGTGACTAAAAATGTAGGCAAGTACTCCAAGACACCAAAGCGATGAGTTAGTTGATTCAAGAGTTACTACTCCTAAGAGTTATTTGTGAAAGGGATTTTTAACAGATTGTACAAGCCAAGAAAGGCCAGATTATCAAAATCTAACAGACTCTGCCAAGTTACTTATGCACTTCTGAATGGCTGAGCCATTCCTAAAGTGTTACCTGGTCAGAATGGGTACAGAGTGCATCATCTGTGCCACAGTGTTCAAACCATGACACAGCTCGAAATATCACAACAGCAACACAGTCCACAAGGACCAATCTGCTTTGGCAGCATTTCTAAAAAGGTATCCACACTGCCAGGAAGCGTTAAGCAAGCACCTAGGCACTAATGAAAGGGATGAAGCCAGTGTCGTTTCTGATATTTTATTTTAGCTATTTATTCACCTTTTATTATAGTTATTTATGAATATCTTATCTTCTTTTTGTGAGGGAAGCACCTTCTTGAAGAGGGCATCTCTGACTCATCTTCGTGGTCACAAGGTGATAAAATATTTTTATATAAAAATATGCAATATATTATTATCTATAATGTATATATAATTCATACGCGTGTGTGTGTGTGTGTATGTGTATGTATATATATATATATATATATATATGTATATATATATAAAATATAGGCCTTCTATGTTAACAGCAAACTAAACCTGGCATAGAAGTTTAATCTAAGAGATCTGCTACGTCAGAAGACAATTCTGGGGAATGTGACCACTTGGGATTGCCTATGCTGCCCCTGATTGGGATGGGGCTCCATTTCCTTCTACTGTAAATGGTTAGTTGAACAAGATATTCTAATATGTTTTTGTTTCTAAATTCCTCCCTCAGTTTGCATATTTCTTAGAGGATCTAAGTGGACAGACTAACAGCTAACTGTAGTTTTTCCATTTACAATGGGTCTTGCAAAGATAAGAACTACGAAAAGGATAAAAATTTCAGAGGGCAGTAATAATAATTTGCTGAGAAGTGCACAGCTTGAGTATTGGAGTTTATTCAGAGTAAGTTTTACAAAAACGTCATTTCCTTTTTTTTAAGCTAAGGTATCTAGCCTAGCAGCTCATTAGGATATAGAAATAAGCATACAGACACGGTACAAAGATACAGTACCAAGGCATTTGACAAACCACTGCCTGTACAGAGATATGGATGGACAACGTAAAGGGCCCAGGACACCTGCAGTGGTATTTATTGTACAATGACATAGAACGGTGGCTTCATAAATTGAATCAAGCAATCCAAACCAAAGAGAGGTTTTGCTTCCAGTAAGAGCAGACAAACCTTTTTCATACTCTTTTTCTAGTAAGAAATAGAAAAATTATGAGAAAACAAACACATACATCTAGTTGAGGACACTGGAGAACTACTAAGGCAGCAAGAACTTGTATTAAAGATCCAAAAGAGGCCAAGTACAGTGGCTCACACCTGTAATCCCAGCATTCTGGGAGGCCAAGGTGGGCAGATCACGAAACCAGGCATTTGAAACCCGCCTGGACAACACGGCGAAACCCCGTCTCTACTAAAAATACAACAAATTAGCCAGGTGTGGTGGTGGGCACCTGTAGTCCCAGCTACTCAGGAGGCTGAGGCAGGAGAATTGCGTGAACCTGGGAGGCGCAGGTTGCAGTGAGCCAAGATGGCGCCACTGCACTCCAGCCTGGGCTACAGAGTGTGACTCCATTTCAAAAAAAAAAAAAAAAAAATCCAAAAAATATAAGGGAAATTCAGTGTCATAATCCAAACATGGCACTGTTTCTGCTTTTGAGGTATCTGCCCATGCAACAGAGAAGCTGAAAGGCTGGGAGCATGCAGTGACTGAGCACCTGAGATACAGAGAAGTGCTGGCAGCCCCAGAGAGCTAAGGCACAGGAAGGAGATGTGAACTTCAGCCTTCATCCAACAGAAGGGGCCCTGTTAAAACACCCCAAGAGTTCAACTGGGATTTTGAAGAGCTTTGCCCTAAAAGAAAAGGGAAACTGGAAATAGACCCGCCCTTAGAGAAGGATTGAAGCCCGGGCTGCAGTCAGCTCAAATCATGATTAGATTAAAATTACCTGCCCCAGGCCTACCTACCTAGAAGAAACAAAACTAAATCCTCTCTAGGATGACAGAGTATTCAAAAATTATATATTAATGTGCAGAATTTGGGCAAGTAACTAGAAACAACTAAAAAATTATCAAATAGAAATTTTGAGATTAAAATTTTTTTTATTTTTAATGAGATGATGTCTTGCTATGATGCCCAGGCTGGTCTTAAACACTTGGCCTCAAGCCATCCTCCCACCTTGGCCTCCCACAGTGCTGGGATTACAGGAGTGAGCCACTGCACCCAGTTTCACATATAAATTTTTGAACTGAAAAATACAGTGTATTTAAGTTGAAGTCAAAAATAAAAGAAAATCTCCAACTGTTTGAAAATTAAACAATGGACTCATATGAGAATTCACAAAGGAAGTCAGAAATATTTTGGTCTGAATAACAATGGAAATATAAAATTCAAAACTTGTGAGATGTGGGCAAAAGCCTGTGCATAAAGTAGCTTAGAGCCTTAGTGCAAACATGAGAAAGTAAGAAGGGCTGAAACTGTTTGGCAGTATCCACTAAGATATGTACAGTCAGGTGCCACATGTCCACATTTCGCTGCATATAAGATGGTATGTCTTAGGCCGGGCGTGGTGGCTCATGCCTGTAATCCCAGCACTTTGGGAGACAAGGCAGGCAGATCATAAGGTCAGGAGTTCGAGACCTGCCTGGCCAATATGGTGAAACCCTGTCTCTACTAAAAATACAAAAATTAGCCAGGCACATTCGTGGGCACCCGTAGTACCAGCTACTTAGGAGGCTGAGGTAGGAGAATCATTTGAACCCAGGAGGCAGACGTTGCAGTTAGCCAAGATGGCGCCACTGCACTCCAGCCTGGGGAACAGAGCGAGACTCCTTCTCCAAAAATAAAAAAATAAATAAATAAATAAATAAATAAATAAATGTTATGTCTCGCACTGCGTTTTCTACCTTTGGATAAGTTTAGATATGGAAATACTTACCACTGTGTTTTACAATTCTAGGTACTGAATGTACTCATAATATGTACTTACAGTACTCAGTACAGTATCATACTGTACACGTTTGTAGCCTAGAAGCAACAGGCTATACCATATAGCCTAGGTGTGTAGTAGCCATATCATCTGGGTTTGCATTAAGTATACTCTGTGATGTTCACAGGACAAAGGAACTGCCTAATAATACACTTCTCAGAATATATACCCATTGTTAAGTGAGCCATGGTTGTATTTTTTAAAATAAATTTTATTGTGTATATTTGAGGTTTACAACATGATGTTATGGAATACATACAGTTAGTAAAATGATTACTATAGTGAAGCAAATTAACTTATCTATCAACTCACACAGTTATCATTTTTTGTCACAAGGGCAGCTAAAATCTGAACAAGAATCCCTAATACAATACAATGTTATTCCCTTTAGTCCTCATGTTGTACGTTACAGCTCTAGGTTTGTTCAGCCTGCACATCTGCACCTGTTATGCTTTGAACCACATCTCACCATTTCAACTCCCCTGACCTCTGCCCACCTCCCAAGGTCCATTGTTTTATTCTTTGTCTCTGTGTATTTGATCCTTTTTTTTCAAGAGTCCACATATAAGTGGTCCACATATAAGGCATGTATAATAGACATGTACACTAAGGCATAATTTTTAATAATCACAAATTGAAATTAATGTACATCAATATTACATAAGATAAAGAATTTATGGTATGTACACAAAAGTGGAACACTATACAGCAATAAAAGTGAATGTGGATCTTGAAATGCTGTTGAGCAAGGCGAGCCATCAAATTAATACATATAGTATCCAGTCTTAGGACGTTCAAAGAAGGTGAAAAATTAACCCCCAGTACTCACGAGGCTAGTACCACCTTTAGGGAAAAGAAAAATAATAAGGAGGGGTCACGGTAATAACCTAGTTCATGACCTGGGTATTGGTTACATGAGTTTATTTACTTGGCGAACAGCCTTTAATATTCCAAAAATCAAGGATAAACAAGCTCTGATCTTAACAGCAGTTTGGTTAAAAACACTCTGGCCAAGATTCAGGAAACAACTCTTCATGAGGCATTATGAGATCTAGTTAAGTTTGACTTAAGACTTTTAAGTTGTGGGCATCTTTAAATATTGGGTTATCTGACAAAAGAGCAACTTGGCTTAACTCTGCAGAGCAAAACTCAGCACAATGAGGGAAAGCAAGTTACAAGACTCAAATTTTGATTCAATATTCTAACTACTAACAATAAAACTGCCCAACAGGCCAGGAACAGTGGCTCATGCCTGCAATCCCAACACTTTGGGAGGCCGAGGCGGGCAGATCACTTGAGGTAAGGAGTTCGAGACCAGTGTGAACAGTGTGGCCAACATGGTGAAACCCTATCTCTATTAAAAATACCAAAATTAATATTGGTGGCATGTGCCTGTAATCTCAGCTACTCAGGAGGCTGAGGCAGAAGAATCGCTTGAACCCAGTTGGCAGAGATTGCAGTGACCCAGCCTAGGTGACAGAGTGAGACTTCATCTCGAAAAAACAAACAAAAAAAACCTGCCTAATAATAGAACACACTGTCTCAATAATAAAGACTATCCCAAACTTTGAACTTGTTCACATAAATGTAGACAGACCACTCATCAAGGATAAGTGGAGGAGTTTTCTATACCAAATGGAGATGAGAGCTGATCACTGAAGCCCCTTCCACATCCTTCAGACTCTATGCATATTAGTCAACATAGAACCACAATTTAAAACCTCTTACCCTTAATCTTGTAGTGGAGATCTCAGCTTTTAAAATATCGGGATCATATTTAGTACTGGATGAAGATCCTGAGAATACTTTTTAAAAAGAAAAAAGAAAACCTAATTATTTACAAGTTGCATAACTAGTTCTCAGCTTGCAATTTACTGAAGCTATACATGGGGGAAAAAAGAATTTACTGAAGCTAAAATAAGATTTATGTGCTTCTGTGAATACTTACTTTTTATAATTCCTTTATTGTCATTCATCAGACACCTAAATATAAAAAGTAATCTTCAAACCTCTATCATTTTTTTTAACTCTGTAACGAGTAATGTCATGCAGGCCTTGGTACTTAACTTTCTTCTGGGTTTTATGCATACTATGTCCTTAGAGGACTATGCTGCAGCAGTATATCAGAGTTTTGCATTATCAAGGAATTTATAATTTAAGTAGAACTTCTGAGCTCATCATAGCTGCTGCTTTAAACAAAGCCAGCTCCAAATAATCAATCTGTGAGATGAGGGAGAGGTAAATCAACTCAGGTGGATAACAGAAATTACACTGAAGACAATAGTTCCAGTTCCTCTCCACAAAAAATATTGTACAAAAGTAGCAGAAAAGGGCCAAATTACTTTCACTGTTCTGAAAAAGCAAAAATTAACTCATAAATGCATACAGGCAACCTGGCAGAGGTGGGAGCAGAAACAGAAGGCATGCATAATCCCCAAAAGGGGCTACTTTTATCTGGAGTGGGGGTGAGAGCTTTATTGAAAAATCTGGGGTGTGCCCTTGCCGCTCATGGTTTTGAGAGACTCTTCCTGCTTAGGAGGGAAAAGGCCTCAAAATTAAACTCCATAGAAATTTAAGTGGCCTTCCGTTATCTACAATCCAGTCTCCAATTCTAAAGTCTGAATAGCCACACTGTACTTACAGCTTGTGCGAGAACTTGACTTTTCCTTATAGGCATCATTTAATCGCACATATTCATCCAGGGCCAGAGCCAGCCTCTGCTCCTTCACATGGTACAGCTCCTTCTGGGTCCGGAGGGCATCCTGCGCCACGGAGAGGTAGTCCTTCAGCATCTTCTCCTGTTCCCCCCTCCATTGTTTCCTTGGATCTTCTATCTGTGTGGTTTCTGAAAACATTAGGTGGAGGGTTTTTTTTTTAGAATTTAACTTTGTTTTCTGGATTGTTTAAGCTTTAGGGAGTAGGCTAGCTTAAGTTCTTACATCCTCTAATGAGTTTTTTTTAGCAGTGCCAGAGTGACTTCTCCAGAAATGTGATATTTTTGTTTTATTTTACCCAGTCCCTATGCCTTCAACTTCCTTCCCCTTTCAGGTTCTCATCAACAATGTATTTTCACTATAAATCTATCACACATGATATTGTCAATCAGATCATTCCTTTCCAGAATACTGTGGCTCCCCAGTGCCTACAGAATAAAAGCCAAGCTATTCATTTCTGCTCTTGAGGCCCTGTATAATCTGGACCCAGCCTACCTTTGTTCACCTAATACAGGACTCTAGCCACACTGCCCTCTGCATCAGCAGTAATCAAAGCTGGTCTACTCTGCAGACCAACACCAGTCCATGAACCCAGTTTTGTGTCTACAACAGTAAGTATAGAAATAGAGACTAAACGTTTTGTAATCTTTATAGCAATTTAGTCAGTTATTGTTTGTCTGTTGATAAACATTTTGCATTTCTTTGTGTGCATATGTTTTCACTTTTCTAGTAATTCACTTTTTATTTTATAAAAATATCAGTGAGTCCGCAGTGGATCTGAAATTTAAAAACGAACAAACAAAAAAACCCTGGTCCTGTTTTACACAGAATGCTCTAGCCTAAGGCCCTGGTTCTTGGTTCTATACTTCTGCACACTAGAATCAACCAGAGACCCCTTTTTGAAAAAACCCAGTCCGATTAGAGTTTCTGTGGATGGAACCCAGGCACTGTAGATTTAAAAGCTCCCCAGATGATTCCAATGAGCAGCTGAGCCCAAGAACCCTGCTCTGCAGCAGCTCACATGCTACCTCCTCCAGAAGCTTCCCCAGTCACCTCATCTGCAAGTCAGCCCTTTATCCTCTGTCTTCCACAGCAGCTTATGCTATTTTATAAACTCAGAACACATTCTTTACTGTATGGTGAAGCTACAGTAGCAGCCACAAAACATGAAGAAAAAAACAAAAGAATCAGATTTCCCTAAACATTTTATGTTCTTATATTTTAAAATTGACAAATTTTTTGGCCACATGTTGGGCCAAGGGGTTGGAGTGTACTGGGTGTCCAGCAATGGGGTACAATGGTATACCACTGTACAAGAGAATGGACAGTTTTGGTGATGCTTAGTGCAGGTTGCTTAGGAGACATCCCCCTGTGTTTGCAGACATGTACTGGACCCCTCTGCTGTGAAAGAAAGGAGCATGGCCATTTTCCAGTAAAGGAAGGGATTCAGAATGGGGCAGAGTAAATAAAAGAGGCTTCCTGGATGCTGATGTTCTATTTTTTCACCCATTACGATTACACAGTTAACTTCTAAAATATGTTAAACTTTGTTATTTCAATCTATTCATTTTTCTGCATGTTGTATTCAGTAATGCAATGTTTTAAAATAAAAGTAAAATAGTTCTAAGGCACAAAAGCTATGGCATTATGACTTAAGATCTTGTCTCCAGCAGGACATTGTATCTGAGTGGACCCCACCACCACCAACAGCAAACACAAACAGGAGATAATTTGGGACAAATAAAAGTTACGGCTTTAATACAGAAAACACATGAAGTGTGATACACAAAAGCTTCATTGAGATTTTTAAGAAACAAAGCAAAACACAAAGAAGGTAGAATAACAGGGCCACTGTAAATAACTAGAAGACAAAATAAAATATATGAACAATGGTTTTCAGATGTTGGACAACAGGTGGTACAAGATTGTGATCTCTGAAAGAAGGGAAATGAACCCCACAATTATCTTACATTTCTGCTGAAAGCACTTTATGGACAGCAGTGCAAAGAGAGGTATTTCAAGCAGAGAAAGGAGGTATTGCTAAACTGAAGGGAGAAGAGGCAGATTTCAGGGAAGCCATGACAGACAGGTGGAATAGGTAAAGCAAAGCACAGGAGAAGTTCCAGAGACTGCAGAAGTTTCAGAAATGTGCACAGGTATTACAAGAAGTCTGTGGGTAAATGCTAAGATGCACAAGGTCAGGCAAAGGGCCAACTGGGAAGCCACAGGCAGATAAATTCCCCGAGCCCACACAGGGCTGTGACACTTTCAAATTATGACCAGCCAGAGGAGAAAGGCCTTAGTTAACATCTAGGGAATACAGTGGAGACCACAGCAAAGTCACACCTTAACAATGGAGCTAAATAAGACATAGGGTAAAGGCTACTCTGAACCTACACTAACAAAGTTCTAAAGCAAGATTCAAAAGGACCAAGCTGGTCAGCAAGTAACTTAACTGCCAGTCAGAGGAAAAAAAGTATAGAGGTTTCCTAAAAGGCACAACATCTAGCACTCAATGAAAACAACAAAACCAACTTTATAATGTTTAGCATCCACTATAAAGTTACTAAATATAACAAAAAGCACAAAAGTATGGCCCATAATCAGAGAAAAATCGGTCAACAGAAACAGATCTGGAAATGTAGAAATGATGGAATAAGCATAATCTGGAAAAAACTGCTATTTTGCAATGGAATAGATCCCAAAAATAAACCCACACATCTACTGTTGTCCAAATAGCCAGTAAGCAGATGAAAAGAGGCTCAACATCACTAATCGTCAAGGAAATACAAGTCAAAACTATAATAGGATACCACTGCACACTATGTAAAATGGCTAAAATTTAAAAACTGGCAATGCCAAGTGTTGAAGAGGATGTGTTGCAATTGAAATTCTCATTCATTGCTACTGGGAATCTAAAATGGTGCAATCCCTTTGGAGAACCACTTAGCAATTATGATACAACCCAGCAATCCTACAATTTGTTATTTACTCAAGAAATATGAAAATATGTATCTACAAAAAGACCTCTAAACAAATATTCATTAACAGCTTTATTCATAATAAACAAAACTGTCTATTACAGGTAATGACTAAGCAAATTGTGGTATATCCATGCAATAAAGTACTACTTAGCAATAAAATGAAACAAAATACTAAAACAGCAATATATAAGACTCTGAAACACATGCTGAGTGAAAGACGTCAGACACAAAAGAGCACGTTTTATGATTCCATTTATACGAAATTTGGGCAAAGGTAAATATAATCCAATAACAGAAAGAAGATCAGTGGTTGCTGGGGCCCAGCAATACTGAGAAGTACTTGTTACAACACAGCAAGAAGAAAGCTCTTTTTCAGGGGATGGAAATGTTCTCTATATTGATTAATGTAATGGTTACATGCTATATACTTGTCAAAACTCATGAATTGCATAGTGAAAATAGATTCAATTTATGTATTTGTATATAATAATAAAGCTGATTTAAAGTTTATTTAAAATATGCTTTGCAAAGTTCAAATGAATGACTGATGAACAGTAAAGAGAACTGAGGTATAATGGAACAGTAATAAAATCCTTTTCCACTATCAGCTGTTGGAAAAGAGCACTGGTTAGGGACTAGGGCCGTGTGGGTTCCATATCCAACTAACCAGATGTGAGACTCTAGAAGTATTTTACCTCTCTTACTCTCACGTCTCTCCAGTGTAAAAAGAGGGTGAAATACGGACGAATATTTTCTGATGTAGTCTTTGTAGTGAACACCGTTGGTGTCCTAGCCTGGTATTCTCGGGTCTTTCTGCCAGGGCCGGCTCTTTGTTGTTGATGGATGTCTGATTGCTCTTGGGCACTGCGCTAACTCACCTGCAGCCAATGACTGACTAGTGAAAAAGACAGAAACAGCTCCCAGGTAGAGCAAACTCTGTAAATTGCACTTCAGAGCCACCGCAATCATGTGGAGTCAGAGACTTTACAGAAATAAAATCTTCGTTTGATTTTTCCCTTCACTTTCTTTATATCCTCATTTCCTTACTGATTTACCCCAGGATTTCCTTCATAAACCACTTTCACTTAAATTCTTGGCTTAGGGCCTGCTTCTGAGAGAACTCAATCCAACGTAACCTTGTATAATCTATGCAAATGGAAATGGATGAAGTTTGATCTTGGACTGTACTTCTCATATCCTCACGTGATGGCTTTTAGTAACACTGTGTGTATGGGCATGGCAGGGGAGAAATGAGAGGAATAATCACTCTTGAAAATAAAGAAGGGAAATAAACTTGTCATTAATAGAGAAATGTGACAGCAAGTTCTGGCAATTGTTTTCTAAGATTCTAGTAGAGAACTGAATAAATAAGCTGCTCTGGTTATTGTAAAACATAAAGTTAGATTAAAGCACAGCCTAATTGCCTCAATAAAATCATTTTTTTGCTCCATTAATAACAACACTCTTAGATTTTAAGCCCTTGATGTCATATCATACCTGAAAATACTTCTACAGCCCAGAGTTCCACAACCCCATTCTTAAGGGTACACTCATAGAGACAGTGTACATTAGTCAGCCCAGGCCACACTGGAAATGAAAGGGGTGGATACAGGACTATGGAACATATAGAAGGAAAGTGTTCCAACAAGAACCTCAGCTAAACTTATTACTGGAAAGGGATGAGGAGGTACTGAGGTTCAGGAGGAAGAAGAAAAAAGAAGATGATATGGTTACCACCTGGGCAGCAGGAAGGCTGAGGTACCTGCATTGTGGAAAATTAAACATGAAAAGGAGGGATAATTGTTCTTTCCACCCAATACTTGAATGATTAAAATGATTCCACACTGAAATATATGTTGAGAATACTGAGACTCAGGTCATATTGAAGTAAGTTTTTAAAAAAAGCAGATGAATTATTTGAGTCCTGAGGAAGTTTTAAGAATATGAACACTGGAAAGAAGAACTGAGATATAATATACCAGTAGCTAAGATCATAAACTCTGTATTCAGTCTAACTGGGTTCAAATCCAGGCGTGTCACTTACAAATTGTGTGACCTTGAGCAGGTTCTTAAACCACTCCAAGGTTCAATTTCCTCCTTAATAAAATGGAGCTAATAATTCAGGGGGCTGTTTGGAAGATTAAATG